GTACGAAATTGGAGTAATAATAAAAATATGTCTTATAAACTTTATTATCTTTATAAAATATGATATTCAAATTTTCCAAATGATTTTACTTGTATTGTATCCCAAGCATAAGTATGAAAGCAACAAAAAACCAGGAGCAATAAATATTGGGAAATCTGTTGCATTAGCTTCGACATATTGTCCCTTCCATTTTCCTAACCAAATTTTAAAATTGGTTCCTCATTAAATTTTTTTATAGGTTACGGGTTCGAACCATTAAAATAGCAAATAATACTTGTATTAGAGTAGGTTGTCTATATTACATTCCTTGTAGCATAATTCTTTTTCGAATCCTATATGTGAACGTGAATACTTTATGTACTGGGCTGCCCATCGAAAAGCGACGATAGAACCACTAAAAAATACAAATCACAAAGAAACAACAAGAATCCAATAATTTGGAGTATTGGAAAATGGAAGAGTCGGGTAGACGAAGGAGGCAATGCTAAGTGCATAAATTTTCATATACATCCGATGTATACACCAAATAAATGTAAGAAATTGTATTTTGCTGCATATACGTTTTTATCGCTTAATTATGATCAAAGTAATGTACATTACCACTTTAACTTCTAACTGTTTACCGTTTATTTATCTACAACTATATCTATAGTCGGTCTCACAAGATTTTATTGTAGGCAAACTATAAGAATTAGGGGCATACAACGGAAAATGGCAAACCTTACCAACCCGATAATCCGAGTTAAGATGAAGAAGAGAAGAAAACCATGAAGATTTCTTCGCCAATTTTACACAGAAAAGAGAAGGAAGGAGGAGATGAGATATTTCAGACAAACACCTAAGTCTTCGGACTTTTCTATGTTGTGTTTGTCTATATCTCTATATCTCTTTAATCAAATTAGAGATGAGGCTACACGTGGAATAATCATGATGGTCATGTTCCTTTAATATCAACCATCTGATCAAGTATTTAACACCTGTACATATGGAAGATTCAAGAAAGAATTCTCACGTGCCTATCACATGAGAACATAGGAGAGAATATTTTACAGTTTTTCTGTTACATTTTAGACAAATAGGAGTAGGAAACGTGTAATGCAATATTCTTTATTTGTTATTTTTCAGTAGGATAAGTTTGTATATATACCTTACACTGTGAATACAAAAGATACAGAGAAAATTCTCACATTTCCTACTGTTTCTTTCATGGTATCAGAGCAGCAATAGCTCGATCCAAAATCTCTCTTCTCTCAAAATATAATATTCATCTATGGCAGGAGAAGAAATTGCCCCTACTCCTTCTACTCTCATTACCTCTGGTTCAATTAGTCAATCAATCTCACAAGATATGAATCATCCTTACTACCTTCACTCATCTGATGCACCTGGTTTAAGCCTTGTAACCACTCCTTTTGATGGTAGAGGTTTTGCAGGTTGGAGGAGATCAATCATCATAGCACTCTCAGCCAAAAAAAGATAGGTTTTATAGATGGTGACTGCAAGGAGCCAAAACCTGATGCACAAGAACACTCTCAGTGGAGTAGATGCAACTTCATGGTGACCTCTTGGCTTCTGAATTCATTGTCCAAGGAGATAGGTGACAGTGTCATCTATTCAAAATCTGCAAGAGATTTGTGGAACAGCCTTGAACACAGATTTGGCCAAAGTAATGGAGCCAAACTGTACCAACTGCAAAAGGAGATATCAATGTTAGTCCAAGGTAACAACAACATTGCTAGATATTTTACCACACTCAAGAAATTATGGGATGAACTTGACTCTCTCAACTCTCATCTAGTGTGCTCTTGTGACTGTGTTTGTGATGGGAAAAGGAAAGTAACAAAATTCTTAGAAGACCAGAGGATCATTCAGTTTCTAATGGGACTAAATGATGTCTATTCTCAGGCAAGAGGAAATATCCTCATGATGAATCCACTGCCTGGAATACATTTTGCCTATTCACTCCTTCTTCAAGATGAAAATCAAAGGGAGATATATGCAAGACCACAATTAAATGCTGATGCTTCCTCTTTCATGGTAGGAGTTCAAGGTAGGGGACCACAGAGAAATAACAATCAGCCACAGCAAAGGACATGGACTAATTCACAAAAGGTTAACAACATACAGCAGAAACCCAAGGGAAGAAAAGCTAAATTTAACCCTAATGTAAGCTGTATACATTGCATGAGAACTGGACATGTCAGGGGAGATTGTTATAGGCTAAATGGTTATCCAAATGACTTTCAATTCACTAAATCAACACAAGTCAAGGCTAATGCTGTAATTGAAGGACAGGACAATGAAAATGGGAATAATCCAAGCAATGATGCAGCACCTCAAACTCAGGTTTTCAGTAAGGAACAGGTGTGTGAGCTGATGAACCTCATCAAACAGGCACAATTTGGAAGTACAACTACACTAGGAAATGCAATCAATGCAAATGCAGTAGCTGGTACTATACTTAAGTATACTGGAACTTGTATGGCAGCCTTTAACACAAAAACCTGGATCATTGATTCAGGGGCTTCTGAACACATGTGTTTGATTTAAATTGTTTCTTATCTTTAGATCCACTTCCTGTTCCTGTGCACATTAATCTTCCTAACTCTTTTCAACTATATGTCACACACATAGGTAGAGTTCCTATTCAGCCTGATATGATTCTTGAAAAGGTTATTTATGTCCCTCTTTCAAATATAATTTGCTCTCAGTCCATAAGTTTTGTGTCCAGTTTCATTGCTCACTCAATCTAACTTCTAGTGAATGCACTATGCAGGTCCCTTTAATGAGGAGGGGACAAGTTTTTGGTGAATTAAGAGGGGGATTGTACCTGCTGGAGCCTAGCACACCTAAGATAGATTCTGGTTTTAGTTCAAATAGCAATGTATTTTCAATTCAAAAGGAAGTAATTCCATTCTTGTTCCTAGTGAAGTTTCTTGTTCTGTCTCTAGTTCAAATACACAAGACTCTAATGTACTCCAATGGCATGTTAGATTGGGGCATTTGCCATTTTCAGTAATGAAAAATCTTCAGTTCATTAATTTTCCTTCCAATTTTAATTGTGTGTGTGATATTTGTCCACAAGCCAGACAAACTAGATTGCCTTTTCCTCTAAGTCAAATCAGAACTCTTGGAATTTTTGATCTTATTCACATTGATGTATGGGGACCTTTCAAAAGTACCACTTACAATGGGTACAGATATTTTTTGACTGTGGTTGATGATTTGGGGACTTGGACTTTTCTTTTAAGTTCTAAGAGTAATGCTTCACTGTGTTGCAGTCTTTCTTAACTATGGTGGAGAGACAATTTGCAGGGAAGGTTAAGAGAATAAAATCTGATAATGCAATGGAACTGGGAAAGGGATCTTTTCAGTCTGATTTCTTTCAATCACAAGGGATTTTACATGAGACTTCATGTGTGGCAACACCCCAACAGAATGGGGTTGTTGAAAGAAAGCATAGACACCTTTTGGAAGTGGCAAGAAGCTTGTATTTTCACTCAAAACTTCCTATTCAATACAGGGGAGAGTGTGTTTTAACTGCCACATATCTAATCAACAGGTTCCCTTCTAGAGTTCTAAAAGGAAAAACTCCTTATGAGATTTTGTTTAAAAGGAGTCCAGATTATGAACACCTCAAGTCATTTGGATGCTTATGCTATGCTTCTACTCTATCACACCACAGAAGCAAATTTGATCCTAGGGCACAAGCTTGTATTTTCTTGGGATATGCACAACAGCAGAAAGGATACAAACTCCTGGAGTTGCACTCCAAAAAGGTTTTTACCTCCAGAGATGTTAAATTTCATGAAAGCATTTTTCCTTTTGCTTTTGCACCTGTGAGTTCCACCTCATTTTTCCCTTCTCACCCTTTCTTTCCTCACTTATCTAGCACTAGTGAACCTACTTCTCAGAATCTTTCTTCTCCCATTTCAACCACTAATTATCAGGAACACTCACCTGCCCCTCTACATTCACACCTTTCTGAGAACACCACCCCTGTTTCTCTCAATCATCCTGGTACTCCTCCATCTGTTACCAACCCTCCAAATTCTGGTTTTCCAACTCCAACTCCTACTGCCTACCATGTTTCCCAGCCTATAATACCAATACCACCACCTCCTATAAGGAAGTCTGAGAGAATTTCCCAGAAACCTACCTATCTCAATGACTATGTCTGCAATAGCATAGTTTTCTCTGATCTTACCTCCTCCTGTTTTCACCATGTTTCTCACCCTAATGTATTTTTTTTGGGGCCCTTTCTCTTAACAATCAGGATATGTTCAAGTCTATCTCTACAGTCTTTGAACCTACTAGCTATGCTCAAGCTTCCCAAGACATTGGGTGGAGAAAAGCTATGGAAGCTGAAATTCAAGCTCCTCAACTTAATCACACATGAGATGTAGTCTCTTTATCCCAAGGCAAGAAGGCATTGCCTTGTAAATGGGTCTACAAGGTCAAACACAAGTTAGATGGATCAATTGAAAGGTTGAAAGTCAGGTTGGTTGTGAGGGGGGACATACAAAGGGAAGGTGTTGATTATTCTGAAACTTTCAGTCCAGTGGTCAAGATGACCACTATCAGATGCCTACTAACTGTAGCTGTTAAGAAAGGTTGGGAGGTCTCACAATTAGATGTTAGCAATGCATTTCTGCATGGAGATTTACAAGAAGAAGTGTATATGAAGTTTCCAGCTGGTCTCACTCCCTCTCATCCTAATCAGGTGTGCTTATTGAAGAAATCACTCTATGGGCTCAAACAGGCTTCAAGGCAATGGTATGCTCGTTTAGAGGTGCTTTAAGCTACAAGGCTATTCTAGTTCCTTAAATGACTATTCCCTATTCTACAAACACACAGACACGCGCATATCAATCATAGCAGTCTATGTTGATGATATTCTCATCACAGGAAATGATGCCATAGAAATACAGCATATTACTAAGTTTTTGGATTCTGAATTCAAAGTCAAGAACTTGGCGCACATTCACTATTTTTTGGGGATGGAAATACTCAGAGAACAACAAGGATACATAGTCAACCAAAGAAAATTTACCTTGGAACTCCTGGCTGAATTTGATTGTCAAGGGCCTACTGTCTCTTCTCCTCTTGATCCATACTCCAAGTTGCACGCTGAATTAGAACCACCCATGGAGGATCCCACTCTTTATCCTCGTTTGGTGGGGAAACTCAACTATCTCACCAACACTCGGCCAGATATTTGTTTTGCTGTCCTTTGCCTCAGTCAATTTATGCAAAGACCCTCGCTTTCCCATTTTTCTGCTGGTCTCAGGGTACTCCGCTATCTTCGATCCAACCCAGGTCAAGGTATCCTTCTTTCCTCTGCTCCTTCTTTTGATCTCATTGCATTTTGCGGTGCTGACTGGGCTGCTTGTAAAGATTCTCGTCGCTCCGTCAGTGGCTTCTTCATTACCCTTGGTGGTGCCCCTATTTCATGGAAATCGAAGAAACAAATTTCCATCTCTTTATCATCCGCTGAGTCTGAGTATAGATCCATGAGACATGTGACCGCTGAAATCACTTGGCTTGTTCGTCTTCTTGCTGTTTTGTCTGCTTCCCCAACTTCGCCGGTGCCTTTACATTCTGACAGTCAGGTGGCGATTCATAATGCCCGCAATCCCGTTTTCCACGAACGCACTAAACATGTGGAGTTGGATTGTCATTTTGTTAGACAGCAATTTCTTGCTGGTTTAATATCCCTCTCCTTCGTTCCTTCAAAGTCCCAAATAGCCGATCTCTTCACTAAACCCTTATCTGGGGTTTCTCATACCAATATCATGAACAAGCTAGGGGTTTCGTCTCTACCCTCCAGCTTGAGGGGGGATGATGAAGAAGAGAAGAAAACCATGAAGATTTCTTCGCCAATTTTACACAGAAAAGAGAAGGAAGAAGGAGATGAGATATTTCAGACAAACACCTAATTCTTCGGACTTTTCTATGTTGTGTTTGTCTGTATCTCTATATCTCTTTAATCAAATTAGAGATGAGGCTACACGTGGAATAATCATGATGGTCATGATCCTTTAATATCAACCATCTGATCAAGTATTTAACACCTGTACATATGGAAGATTCAAGAAAGAATTCTCACGTGCCTATCACATGAGAACATAGGAGAGAATACTTTACAGTTTTTCTGTTACATTCTAGACAAATAGGAGTAGGACAAGTGTATAGCAATATTCTTTATTTGTTATTTTTCAATAGGATAAGTTTGTATATATACCTTACACTGTGAATACAAAAGATACAAAGAAAATTCTCACATTTCCTACTGTTTCTTTCATAGAGAAAAAAACCAGACTATGGTTTGGTTTGGTGTTGGAAAAAAAATCGATCATAATCGATTGGTTTGGTTTTAACTAAAAAAAGTCAAACCGAAACCAAACCAATCCGACATTATATATATAGAAATTTTAGGTATATTTTTTTTTGGTAATTAAATTTCATTACACAAACAAATATGTACATACTATCATTGAGCATACTCTGGACATACATCCCAGATTTTGCTCCACTTCCTTTATCTACTACATACATGAAAACATCTGAGTTAACTACTGCCTATGTCATAGATTCTACAAGCTAGGATAGTAGTTAAGTTCCTGCAATCTCTTTTGTATCCTCTGTTTGCTTCCTCCTCTTCCATGTACATCCTGTGTAATAGATCTGCAAATGTTGGTTTCTGCTCTTTGAACTCCCTTAAAAATTCTGTTATTCCTTTCTTGCCATATGTAATATACTGATCCTGCTAACACAAGTTTGTATAGCTCAGCCTTTGTACTCCTCCCTTTGTAGTGCTTTTCTGCCCAGTGAAGTTCAGCTGCCCATACCATTGGTTGCCTATGGATGCCTTGCCATTNTGTTTTGTGCTATGAAGATTTTATGAGGAAAAACCCGAAAACCAGAGATTAAAAAATCCGACTTTTATTGGTTTGGTTTGGATTTAATAACCCGACACAATTGATTAATTTGGTAATTGAAAAATCCGAACCAACCCGACTACACCAAAAGATCAATTGGCTATAAGCTAAAAGTTTTAACAAGAAAATTCTAAGGAACGTAAATCTGTGCACTCAGGTAAATAAATCTTCTGGAAAAGGGCCAAATATATTCCTTTACTTTTAAATATTGTTTACATCTACACTTTGTTATATTATCTGGTTTGAATATTCCAATAAGTTTTATAGTCATTAATATTAATAACTCAAATAATGCTAACAAAAGCACAAACCAAAATCAGATCAATACTAATGGTAACAAAAGACATTCAATTCAATATTAAGAATGACAATGTATTGAATATCTATTTTTTGTTATGCAATGATTTAGATAAAAATGCATAACCTATTTTTATTTTTTCTTTAACATTTAATCATCTAGTAATTAATACCTCCTATTATTCTACTTATTTAGCATGACTTCGTACTTTTAGATTATGTTTATTTTTATTATGGCTTTTTAATTAGCAATGTCTTTATTGATGAATATTTTAGGATAATTCTATGACACATCTCATATTTTGTATTATTTTCTTCGAAAATACCCTATATAGTTGAATCTGAATAGGATTAAAGAAATGTTTGGAGCACATGTTATATATTTTGTGCTACAAAGATTTTACCCAAAAAACCCGAAAAAACCCAAAAAAACCCGAAACCCCGAGTTTTATTGGTTTGATTTGGTCTTTAAATTTAATAACCCGACACAATTCATTTGGTTTGGTAATTGCAAAACCTGAACCAAACCGACTTATGTACCCCTAATAAGAATTTTGAAACATAAGAAGATGGGAAAGAAAAATTAATAAACGATGGAGTAAAAGAAAGGGGGCCTAGGGACAAAGGGGCAAAGCAGAGTGACTAAAATGTTGGAATATATTTGAAATGGAGGAAAAAGGGGTGGGTGTAGTAGGGTTTGGTAGGCAAGTGGAACCCATTGAAATAAATGGCCGACTTGGGGTTAAACTAAATATATCCCTTTCATCTATTCTTCACTTGTATTTTGAACAGGGAATGTTGTCTATTTGCTTTTATCTAAGCTTGTTTCGTGTATTGTCTCTTTCTCATATTTAATGCACAATTTAATGAAGTTTGCAACCAAACAACACATTTGCTAACCCTACTTAAATTGCCTTCGTCCTTGCAATATATCACGTAGCTTGTTCTCTTTCTACCACAATAGTTAGACTAAACATTACGTACAAAATTTAGCTCAATGATTTTACCAGAAAAAAGTTAATTTGATGACCATTTAGGAAATTAACCTTAGACTCTTAGAGGAAAAAAGGTGTAAATTGTCTCTAAGTTCTTGAAAAGATGAGAGCAAAACAATCTGTCAAAGTGTCCTTAAGTTGTATTTCAGTGTGGTGCACCTTTTACCATACAAATTGAAATCGAAATATAATTTCATAAACTGCTAAATGCTTTAGATTTTTTATTTATTATAAACATATAGAGTTACATCGTCTGGATTGTTAAAACTTTAATTAAGATCTTTCATTTTCTTCTTGGAAGTAAATGATTTATAACCGTGTCGAAAATAAAGCTTTGCTATGGCAATAATTTTGTACCAAGAATTAATTTCTTATTCTCTCGGATATAAATGGAATTGACAATATAGCTGTGGAAACTAACTTCTGAAAGCTGGAAAAGATCTTTTTTTTTTTTTTTTTTGTCATTATATTGTTTGTCCTCTCGTTTACGTGCTCTCTCTTTAATTTTCTTTGATGAATCAAAACTAGCTAGCATTGACAAGCTAAGAAACACACCATGATATACACTCTTAATTTCTATCTTCTTTCATTTAACTCTAGCAGATACTTGTAACTCTTTGAAGAAATTACCAATCAGACATGCATGGCTTAGAAGTAAAAGCACAAGCACTATATAGATCATCATGGCATAAACTAAAAAAGATTCTCAAAAGGAATGTATCAATAAAACTGTCCTTCCATATAGATCGTCGTGGTGTAAACTGATCAACAGATTTCTAGCTTCCGAATAATTTTCAATATACAGAGTATACTAGATATTAGACAGAGGATAGTATGTGGATCCATATAATTTAGGAACACAGTTATTCAAATAAGTCAAAAACAATAGGAACTTTTAATGCATGGGATGACATAATATAATAAAATTGTCACGTAATGTTATATGTAAATGTACATAACTAAGAAAAAAAGATTTGGTTTTAATTGGAATGAAAAGAATAGTAGTATTTCTCAATATTTGGTAGTTATTACTATTAGAGAATTCTTTTCATATCCTTCCAAGTAGGGGTGGGTATCGGTCGGTTCGGTTGGGTTTTGAATGTTATTGGTTCGTCATATCGGTTATCGGTTTATAAATGCACTAAACCGATAACGAAACCGATAAGATATCGTTTATCGGGTATCGGGTATCGGTTAGCCGGTTATCGATCCTTATTGGTTCGGTTATCGGTCTACCCGATAAGAATAAAAACTATCCAAAAAATTCATATTTTTATTATAGAAATCGTGATCGAACTATTAAGAGAAAGGAATTGAATTTTTACTCTTAAGATAAGAGGGATTAAATTTCAACTTAGAAAATAAAACTTTCTTTGCATTTGAAAATCCCAATGAATGATCTCAATTTTCAAAGTTATAAGTTAATAGGGGTAAGAGATAAGACATTCAACAATCTAATCTTGCTAACTATCTCACTGCGAGCGGGCATAATTTACAAGAAAATAATAAAATCCTAATCTTGTAAATACTAAAGAATCAATGCAACGAAAGAAACAAATAGAAAAACTAAAAATCTGAACAATTAATTCTTTAAGGTTTAAAACTAAACATCTTAACTGAAGAATTAAAATGAGAAATTCAGAAAAGTTTAAAACTTACTCTAAAGATTAAGTTAAGAAGATGAAGAGTAACTGCCGAGAGAATTGAGAGAATGAAGCCATAAAGTGATTTTATATACGGGGAATTACCAGCTATGTCCATTTATAAGTAGCTCATTATAAAAATTGGCCAATTGATAAAATATTACTAATATTAGCCAAATTAGCCAGTTAGCTATTTGTAACAAAAGAATAATATTGAGCTATGGCCGACGCAGCTGCTCTCTTAATGGCTGTCACATCATTTCTGTAAACCATTTTGCTCCTATTATTTTCGCATAAAAATTTACCCACAATCTTTATGTTCTGTCCCATCACCATATTCTTCCAAATTTCCTCTGCTTCTTCCTCTGTATTTTTCTGTTTCCTCCTAAAAACTTCTGTTGCATCTAATCTTTGAATTTTTCATCCCTTAACATTTATCAGTCTCTTTATTTTTCTCTAGTTGTTTACTAGCTAGTATACAGTTATTGATCTTCACTTCATTAATAGCTTCCTTTAGTAGCCTCTCGCGCGTCTCCACGTCTACTGAGTTTGATAATTCAGCTCTAAAATAACTATCAAATTCTGGTACGCCAATTGCTTTGTTTTGAGTGGGTGCTATTAGAATAGATTGGGCACAACTTAAGGAGCTCGAATCTCAGTTTTGGGATGATTTGGTGAAGTTTTGAGGTGGTTTGAATTGAAAATTCGAAGTAAAAGCTGAACATGAAAAAAAATGATACGTATATCACATATGTATCATATTTGTATCAATTGTGTATCACATGTATATCCATGTATACCTGTGTGTGAGATACATGCGTGATACATGTTTGATACATGTATCGCAGAAGACTTTTTTGAACTCGATTTAATTACGAATTTTGATACAAAATCAGTCCAAATCACCTCCAATCTTCCTCAAATTTTGTATATTGACTTATCTATATATTTTCAATGAATTTCAACTATATCCATTGAAAAAGTTCCTTTTTGTTTAGATTTTTGATATATTGTATAGATTTTTGTATTTCATCACCTTATTTGCTACCACGTCCATGAAATT